GAACGCCCGCGGAATGTGAAACTCAAAAAATTGCAAAGGAAATCAGCGCAGACTTAACGACGTCAAAACACCAGCGTTGATAGACTGAGAGTTGGTGAGGTTGCCACCCACTCTCACGGCAACCGGCCGGGCAAAAAGCGATCAATCCGGTCGGTAATGAATGAATGCTGATCGAGTTTTGCTGGTGGCCCTTATGCCAGACGCAATCAGAGGCTGCTGAGACGCGCATCACACACACACGCGCACATGGATTGATATATGTATTTATGCAGATATAATCCGTCAGCATCCTTTATAGGTGTACCACTAGATGAAGCCTCCCTAGTCCTATCCATAAATGCCAGGTGTCAGTGTTACTTCTATTACTAATGTTACTGCTACCACTACTACCACCGCCACTGCTACTACTACTACTATGCAATCTGCGCCATCCCTTCCCATGCATGGGGTTTTCACTCATATTTCTTCTCTCTATAGCTTCTAATAGAGCAATTTTACGGTCTTACCCGATGGTTTGTGTGTGTGTGTGTGAAAGAGAGAGAGAGAGAGAGAGAGAAGAGAGAGAGAGAGAGAGAGAGAGAGAGAGAGAGAGAGAGAGAGAGAGAGAGAGAGAGAGAGAGAGAGAGAGAGACGGGGGGGGGGGGTTAAATTTAGGTATGTATGTTAACCTGCGCGCAGATACAGATAGCATATATAGTACGTGTTCACATAATATATATTGCACATATAAGCGCGCACACAGTTGATACTTCTATAAACCACACTCTTTCGTTTGATTCTCACCGCATAACCAGTGAAAACACATGGGTGTATCATAAGGATAAGCTCGCTCTAAAGCGTTTAGATGAAGCACTGAAAATATCTTGATTTTGAGGCACTCTGTGACAAAATCACATCGAAATCATACATAACAGAATGAAAGAAGAATGGATTGTGATCTAACATTAAGGACTGACAAACGTTTTAAAGTCAGGGATAATTGTTATGTCAATCTCAGAAGCCAGTGCCGGATATTGAAACTAGACAGACTCTACGGGAAGCCCCCTCCACTTTCCAGTAAAGTGTTCCAAGTTCCCGCAATGAAAGTAAATTGCTTCTTGATTTATACAGTATAAATGCAATTGTGGTGGCACTGTGGTCTGGGTTAACTAAAGGCAAATGGATATAAAGGAACCTGATGATTAGGGGAATAATAATAATGAGAAATTAAAGAGCAATGTGAAAAATGGGCATCAACATAGCACATTCTATAAGGATGGTAATCAACCTATCATGTGTTCTAAGCCTATTCCTTTACAAGTTCAGATGTGTGCAGGTTCATGTATTACGTACTAGTATGAGTGAGTGATGTGTGAGTGAGTGAGTGAGTAGTTGGTGTGAGTGTGTGAGTGAGTGAAGTGTGTGTGTGTGAGTGAGAGTAAGAGTGTTGTGTGTGTGTGAGTGAGTGAGTAAGAGTGTGTGTGTGTGTGTGTGAGTGAGTGAGTGAGTAAGAGTGTGTGTGTGTGTGTGAGTGAGTGAGTGAGTGAGTAAGAGAGTGTGTGTGTGTGTGTTGTGTGAGTGAGTGAGTAAGAGAGTGTGTGTGTGTGTGTGAGTGATGTGAGTGAGTAAGAAGAGTGTGTGTGTGTGTGTGTGAGTGAGTGTAAGAGAGTGTGTGTGTGTGAGTGAGTAAGAGAGTGTGTGTGTGTGTGAGTGAGTGAGTAAGAGAGTGTGTGTGTGTGTGTGAGTGAGTGAGTAAGAGAGTGTGTGTGTGTGTGAGTGAGTGATGTGCGTGCGTGTGCGTGTCTTTACATTGTAACTATGTAAGGCCTTGTATGAGTGTATGTGAACGGGAACGACTGTGGTTATGTGTCAGCGTACAAGTCTATATGTGCATGGCCGAGTAACACGTAGTTTGGGCCATTACCACCATCTCAGTTTCTGATTTTCTTACTCTATTTGACAGCATTCGTTTATTGGTAACTCGGGTAAAAATGAAACTTGAATGAAAAAAAGACAGCGAGTTCTGGTATTTTACTAAGAGAGTGACATCCATCATACACACAAACCAATATGATCATCTTTACCTGTCTATACTGAATCACAGGTCGCTGATGCTATCCGCTGAGTTGCTAATCATTACAAAAAGTACGATAAAACAAATATAAAGATACGAGAGGCGTCAGAATATAATCTAGCCTAGTTTTCTGTATATCAGGTGTATCTGCTCCACGTGTCTTGTCTCATTCACCTGCGCCAATCTAAGCCCGCGTAAATTGTTCGGTAAAAACAGTTATATAATTTCTGTGCAGGATGTGAGTTCCTCAGTACTACTCTGGATTATTTACAGGCAAATTTACCATGCAGTTGCCAGATTAGAAGACCAATTCTGTTTGAGAATCAAGCAAAAAACTGTGGTTTATATAAGTGTGTGCGCGTTTACATGTGCAATACATATCATGTGAACATACGCACTATACATGCTATCTGTATATGCGCCCACATTAATATACCTACCTAAATAAATTTTTTTTTATTCCTAGGCATATTATTAGAGTAATTGTTGATACCAACACAACAAATCGGCGAACACACTCGTAAAACACACACACAGCGACGCACATTATATACTGCATGTATCACACATATTTATACACATATCTATATGTTTATGTGTTGTATGGATCTATGTGTTTCTAGGTTATGTCTATATGTATACACACAATATATATGGATGGTGTAAAAATATATATGTATATATACGTCTAAATGCAGTGAATATGCATTATATATATTTTTTGAGTTAGTGTACATTTATATACATGTATTATTTGCAGCTGCAGTTACAATATAAAATCATGTAGTGAATACAACATGAAATCTCATAATATAATATCTATTTTAACCTTAATATTTACAAAAGGTATATGGTAATACAACAAATCATCGTGTAACTGTGTTTGTAAGATATACGAGGGCAAATTGGAAATATAACTAATTGATTATTAAAATACAAGAAACAAAGAAAAGCTTCATGAAGTAGTAGGCTACTGTGAAGCTAGCTCATTCTAGCGAGCTGTAAAGCGGCTGGCGCTCATGGACTGCCAGCGAGCGT